TTTTCAGAAAATAAATAACCACCTCTTTCAGTAAGCTGATAGTGTTATGTTAAAGAAAAGTTTATTAACTGATAATGAGAGAGTTCAATAAAGTCTTCAGTTTATTTGAGCTGTAGTGCAAATGAAACATGTCTCATATATCAGGATTAATAAAAGATGGAGGCTGTAGTTTTTCTGACAAATTGTTTCTACCGAAATTAGACATGCTACTCTGACAGATTGGGAGAACTGGCAGGGGTCATATACTTTTACATTTAGCTGTTTATTCTGCAGTTAGTTTTCAGGTAATATTATTCAGAAGTCTGTCATAATGTTATACTGTGGCTTAAAGCGGGGGAAAACACAAGCATTAACAACATTATCATGATTGACTCATTTAGTAAATAACTTTGGTTTATGTGACACTTTTCATTGAAAAAAAAGCTCATTATCCATCTTTTTTGCTGCCACTATCCTCACTTGTGTGTGTCATACACACCTTAGTCTTGCATAGGAATTTCCTGTGTGCTGTTTTGGGGCTGCTACATCTGAATGCAGTGAAAGCCTCTTAGGGAAAAGCACAGTCAATCACAGTGTTTAATTGTGTTTGGGGGCGGTGCGACTGAAGGAGAGACCAGATTTAACCCTTTCTGCATGTCTAGGTTAATATTGACAGCCTGATTTTTAATTTTTATTTTTGTGAATTAAAGTGAATTAAATGATTGGTTGGGACTTTTCAATAGATGATGGATATTGACGAGGACGCGTCCCCTCTGTCCATAAAACAACAAATTGCATATAGATTTTTAATATGTAAAAACTTTATAATTTAAGTGTAAAAGTAGAAATGTACGTATGCATGTATAAATGCATGTACACACACACGCATTTTGCAATGCATGTTCATAAATTTCCAAATTTGTTCTGAAATATATTTTTTTAAATCATATAAAAATTCCTGTTAAGTTTAATTTATATAAGCAAAAAGTACACATCTAAAATATGAGTATTTTATTACCAATTCATGTCACAATCACTTGCTAATTTTCCATTCAAAAATGCAAATTAAATTTATGCGCAAAACTGGAATTAAAAAAAAGGAATATAAAGCAGCGTTTCCATCCAAGTAGTCAAAAAGAATCAAATTGTCACTTCCTGATTAACTGGTACCAAATATAAACAGTAAAAATGGAATTTGCTGCATAGGAGAAGCTGCGTGAATCTTTTCTTTATTTAATAAATGACTTGTGCTTCAGAAGACAACTGACACGCAATGAATTTGTGGTGGTGTTTGAAGGAGACACGGAGCACAGACGCTCTTAACAATTCTGGAGGTCATTAATAATATAATTACTCCAATACTAAAACAGTTCAGGAGTTAAGGAATGACCAAAACAACATTTCAGATGTTTTACAATGCACTTAGCCTGCTGGTTTGTCCATTCACACACATTTTTATCATCACATGATCTCTTATAACAAAATGACATGACATTATTAATGCGCTTACTTTAATTTGTTCAGTAAAAGTGTTTCCATCATTGTTTATGCGCATCTTTTCCTATCGAATAAAAAGTTTATCCTACACAGTTATGCACAAGTTTTTCTGTGCACATTTTAAAAATTCATACGCATCTTGCCATTTCCATCATCCAATTAATGTGCATAGGTGGATAGAAATGTAGCTACTGTTATATTTTATATTTCATAAACCAGCATCATTTGTTTTGAGAAAATCAATAAGTTCAAGTGCCTTACAATTTTCACGCTAAAACTTGACTGAAATCTCGATATTTTCTATCTTTCAGCCCGGTGGCTCTCTATTCATCACCACTATTAACAAAACCAACTTATCATACGTGTTTGGGATTGTGGCAGCAGAGCAGCTGTTAAGGATTGTACCGAGTGGCACTCATGACTGGGAGAAATTTATCAGCCCAGAGGATCTGGAACGACTGCTGGAGTCTTGTGAGTGTCATCTCTGATTGTTTTCATGATCATTCATTATGAATCGGTCTTGCTGCAGTGTTTATTTTATGCATTTGTTTCCTTCTGTCTCACTGTATACCAGTCGGTTTCTACGTGGAGGCTATCAGAGGCATGATGTACAATCCTCTCACAGGGGCTTGGAGCTGGCAGCAAAGCACAGCCATCAACTATGCCTTGCATGCAGTTAAACGTAAAGAAGAACCGCAGCCTGACCGGGTCTGAGAAGGAGAATCTGAAGGAGCCAGATCGAGCCAAGAGTTACAGCTGAGCTCTTTTTATTGATGGAACTGCTATTAAACGGATATCACGTGCCCCGGAACGTACTTTAGGCAACATAGACCTAAAAATATGTAAAAAATATGTGGCATTGCTGAACATGTTTTGTCAGAAGGTTGATTCGTAACGTATTTCATGCAACTGTGGAGCTGTTGTTAAGATTGATCCACTCGTGCCATGGTATTGATTTGGTGGTCCTTTGATGCATTTTAAACACAGTCAGCTTGAGTGATTTGTGGAGTTGTTGTCAATTGTAAATTAGACAATGAAAATGACATCTTGGTTTTTGGTGCCACTTTAAAAAAAGTGCAAGTACTTAATAAAATAAAAAAAACAAGTGATCTAAATGAAAGAGTTTAATTGGTGTTTGTTGTGTTTTTATGCTCACTAGCAATGCAGTATACACTACCCGACAAAAGTATTGTCACCTATCCAAGTTTTTAGGAACATAAATAATAGCTTGACTTTTAGTTGATCATTTGGTATCAGAAGTGGCTCATATGAAAAGGCAAAGGCCTCTAGATTACGCTTATTTTACCCAAATAAAATATGATCATGCCTTTATTTTTAAATATTTAATTAGGACAGTAAGGTCTGACTTTGCTAAGACAAAAGTCTTGTCCCTTAACAGATAAAAATGTACAGTATAGGATTTAAAGTCATGGGGCAGTGGAAAAAGAATTAATATTGTGGACTGGAATTAGTCCACAATTAGAATTAATATTGGAGGACTGTATCCATACATCTCTGCAATGACTCAAATAACTTATTGATAAAGTCGTCTGGAGTGGCAAAGAAACATTATGTAGCAGGACTCCTATAGTTCATCAAGATTCTTTGGAATCATCTTCAATGCCTCCTCCTCCATCTTACCCCAGACATGCTCAATAATGTTCATGTCTGGTGACTGGGCTGGCCAATCCTTTAGCACCTTGACTTTATTTGCTTTCAGGAATGTTGATGTGGAGGCTGAAGTATGAGGAGTGCTATCCTGCTGAAGAATTTGCCCTCTTCTGTGGTTTGTAATGTAATGGGCAGCACAAGTGAAGTTTCATAAACTAATTTTGAGAGAAGCATGTGATATGATTGAGAACTGCTGGCCACTTATCTGTAATCAGTAATAATCCAATCAGAGTGATCCTAGCTTACTATGAATGGATCATTTTCTCTTTACTGTTCTATCTTTGTTTTTGAAAAATCCCCCCTTACACCCCAACTCCTCCTTTTCCTCGCTTTTCTAAAGGGGGAGCTACCTGATCTGAAATCTCCTGATATGCTTATTATAGTGTAATTCTATAATTTGAACTGCACTTGAATCTTCATCCTTGCATCCTTTTAGCTTCCAGGAGTGTCCAGGCGTCGTCTGACAGATATTTGAAGTAACCAATCACAGTTTGTGAAGTAGAGCTATTGGAGTGTTAGCAGATTTGTGTACTACAGTCTGAAGTTTAGCTCTGCGATTATTGAGTATTGTTGAGACTTTTATGATCGAGTCGTTAATTACAATATAGCCAATTTTGGTGAAGCTCCTTTTTGTTAAATCTTATGTAAAATGGTAAAGTTATTGTTTTCATATCTTTCTGATTTATTTGAACTCTGAATCCTTGTCTTGATAAATCTGAATGTTTATTGCACTGTCAATAGCGTCCTCTACTGGTTTCACAGGAAGTTACAGTCTCTAAATGAGTTAAAGCTTCTTTTAGAGTACATTTAAATGTTGTATGTTGTTGTACTTTGTTTGTTTTCAGTTACTGTAGTTGAAATATGTCATTTTTGATGCGCATTTTGGATGAAATGCTTAAAGCCATTGACTGCATCACATGATTTCAGGTGTGGTGGTTTGAGGAATCACAGTTCTGTTCAACTTTTGTGCGTCAGAGGTTGTTTGTTTGCTTTGTTTAAACGAAATATGGCATTATCCTGCAGACCCTCCGTTTAGAAACAAATGGAAGGCTGACTAGAACCGGAAAATCTTCACAAAGCCTGTAAATACAGTGCGTCTGTCTTTTATAGAAACGCAATAGCTGTATAATTATAATGTTATTTGCATAGATTTATCTTAAATTAGTAGTTTTTATTTAACATTCTTTACAAATATTGTTATTATATGCAAATATGCAATATTAATATTAACTGCAAATAATATTATGCAAATTTATGGATTCATTTTAATATTTGTGTCCATGACTTTCAGTGTAAATCATGTATTTGAATCTTATTTAAATCGTTTTCAGTATTTTTAAATTATTAGGCTAGGTTAATCCAATTGTTTTATGAAAAAGTATACTTCTTTTTATGATGTACCCTAATTTAAACTGCTGATTGATCTTATAATTGCATTATTAGCCCAGCCTTTTTTCATATGTCACTTTTATTATTAAATAATTATGTTTTAATCATAAAATGCATAATTTAGAATAACTTGGGGTGCTATGCTTAAGAGTAGTTTAAAATCAAAGACTGTTCAGCCACACAAATATCTTTTAGTCTATTATTAACTGACCATAATAAATATATATATATATATAGCCTATACACACACACATACATAATATAATATAATATAACACAATATAATATAATATCCAACTCATGTCAAAATTCTAATTTTGATAACTCTGCATAAAAAAGGAAATGCACTTAAATTGTACCCCACTACACATTGCAATTATGCGTATTTGGTTAAGTAAAAAGCCTGAACGTGACGTGATGTATTTAACGGAGCAGTTTCCATGTGTGATGCGTCGTGACGTCACTCAGCTCCAGCACAGCAACAAAGGAGGATGCGGAGCTGCGTGCGGGAACCAAATCCCGTTAATATGCTTTTCTTGTGCTTTACGAGACCGACGTAACACACAACCATGTAACAGCTGTCCATATTTCTATGGATAAATGAAGTGGCGCAGGATTCGCTGCAGGACGCGGGAGGAGAGAGAGAATGTACTGGGTCGCTGGCTTCGCCTCCTCCCGGTCCTTCGTGGTTGATCTCGGCCGGAATCAGAGCCCGTCCTTCGGGTTGTGCGGCTCTGATGAGCGTCACTTATTTTATGGCTACATAGTCGCCGTCCCTGTGCAGGATTTCGGCGGGATCATGTCGGGATTGGTGTCGGATTCCTGGTGGAGGAAGACGCTTTACATCACGGGAGGAGCTTTGCTGGCTGCGGCTGCGTATCTGCTGCACGAGCTGCTCTCCATCAGGTCAGTGCTGCTGTGGCCTTCTACTGGCATCTCTGTTAATATACTGAATAACAACCCACTGTTACTGTTTGTAAAACACAGCAGAATTCCCTTATGTTATTTGAACCCGCCTAAGAGAGAATGTAAATATTGCTGCGCTCCTCGGTGCCAGTTTCAGCTCCAGTCTCCGTGTTTTCCTTGAGCTCGCGTACGCTGGACTGCATCAAGTCACGTTTTCTAAATGACATGCACATGCAGTGTTTGTCAGCACTGGAGTAGACATGAAAACGCCCTGTCATCAGAACTCAGCTGGAATCGCCATTGTTTACATTCGTTCATTAATAAACTCGTCATGGTAAATCACGCTTCATATTTGGCAGCACGGCACGTGATCATCAATGTTTACTCTGGGATCGCGATGTCCTTGAGTTGTATTGCACGAGCGACCTTTCTTGGCTCATCTGCAGGCCATTACCTAGTAAATTCAAGGGGGACTGCAGTGCTGTTGGAAGTTGCTACAATTTTTTAATGTGACAATAGACGTTGTCCTCATTTAACGCCTGACTGAATGATTTCAGAATTTTCAGCACCACAGGCAGTGGACAGCGGCATTTCAGTCTTGCAGCACTCAATGTATACACTGATGCGTTAATCTTTTCATTTTGGTATGAAATGCAAATTAGTATTTGATAATGGCGTTAACAGACAAATATGTGAAGTGCATTGGGCAAAAGCAAACGTGGTCATCTGGATGCGCCATATTTATCTACTATATTTACAAATGTTGTTTTAATGATGTGCGAGCTGATATAATATTGCCCCTCACTTTTCCTGGACAAAGCAAACAAATAAAATCATGTTATTGGAGGCTAATATTATCCGTGAATAACTGATTTTAACTAAAGTTATATTGAGTAAGTTACTTTTTTAACGTAATATCGGCAGTTTTTTCCTACTTCAGGAACGAAAATAGAAACAAAGCTGAAGCAGAACATTTGTGGGCCTCAAAGCAATATTGCAGTGTTTCGCATTGTTGAAATGCAAGTGACCAATCACAAACGTCTCTGATTAGCTTAGGCATCACAGTAGCCAATCAGAGGCATGAGATTAGTACCCACCCAAACACCGGTGTTTTGTATGGATAGTGTATTGCATAAGCTCAGTTTTTAAATATATTGTGAAATTGGTAATTGTAAAACGAACAGCCTATTGTGATTTTGTTTATTTGATTCTCAATTTAACTACAGCTTACACCATTACTGTATTATAGTTAGCTGGATGCTGATTTTCTCCCTTTTTTGATAAACTTTTTGCTCACTTGCACCTTGAATAATTGTTGTCAAAATGGTGACAAGAAATTGATAGACTGTTTCATGCAGAAATCCTGATCAGAGCATCCTTAATCTGAAATCACATAATTAAAATATATAAAATATATATAAATATATATAAAAATATATTTTTGCAAAGTATATCATATTGTTTTTCCACAGAGTAAAATTCTACTAAACAAACATGTTAGGAAATCTCTTGAGTGTAAAATCACGTTTGTTGAATAATAACAGCTTAATCTGGAAGGATTTATCTGTGCTATAATCTTTTTATAGTTTACATGTAGGGATTTCAGAAAAATGTGATTTGATATTTCCCTCATTTAGAAGCACATCATACTCAAAAGTCAAAAAACATATTTTTAAAGTATAAAGGATGTGTATTTTGAAGGCTGTTGTTGTTGTTCTTGGTAAAATTGTGTGCTGTAAGAACAAGACTATGTTGTATTGTTTTGAAAGCTTGGGCTTGTATTTGCTGCTTGTAAAATAAGACCTGTCTGTTTTCTCCCTCACACATCCTGTTTCCTCATAATGATAGTCTAAGGACTTTTCCACTGCACTCCATAGGGTTTATTTTGGCTCAATAGCTGCTTTTAAGGCTAAATTGTGTTCCTGCTAAACTATTTTCTCTCTGTAATTCACCCGGTAACGCACTGAATCTTTGCAATTCCAGGGTAATAGTTTTCCAGGAAACATGAAGGCTGATTATATTCATTCCGTATATATTTTTTTTCAATTTGTAAAAAACGCATGCCAAATGAATACTGTACATGTAACAATCTTACATTTTGTTCCAGATGCAATATTTAGGCAAGTAGATAAGCTAAGATGGGTTAAAAAATAAAATAAAATTTATAACTATATTATTACTTTCCCGATTGACTGATTCCATAAACAATTGCAAACATTTTGTTAGTAAGAGTTTTCTAAAATGTTATGTTTAAATATGCAAATGAGGTATGATTTAATGAAATTTGCTTCTATGTTTGTAATACAATACTAGCCCAAAAATCTGAACATCGAGTGAGGTCATGTTTGAAAATCCAGGGTGCTCAATCTGCGCTCTGTGTAGGTCCTAACACCACAGTATATTGATTGGGACTCTATTTTGTCAGTGAGCATCGTCTTTCAGATGAGATGTTAAAAATTCCAGGATGTCTTTAGAAAAAGTGTTGGGGTTTAACCCTGGCATCCTGACCAAATGTGCCTACTGGTCTCTGTCCATCATGGCGTCCTAACCATCCCCATATCATAACTGGCTTTATCACTCTGTCTCCTCCCCACCAATCAGCTGGTGTGTGGTCTGGTGGCTGCCATCACTTCATCCAGGTGGATGCTGCACACTGGGGGTGGATGAGGAGATCCCCCGCCAAAAAATGTGTAAAGCAAAAAAGTGTCCTGAAAAGCGTTATATAAATGTAAAATTATAGTTCAAATTTAAATTAATTTATATTATTATTATTATTGTCTATTTTTTCCCCAGAAAAGATCAGGAGTTGGATTCAAAAGATGCCATCATCCTTCACCAGTTCTCCAGGCCGAAAAATGGGGTCCCAAGCCTGTCACCTTTCTGCCTGAAGATGGAGACCTATCTGCGCATGTTGGATCTGCCATATCAAGTATGCATAAAGCAGCTGTTTGAATGTTAGACTGTGCTTGCTTTGATCCGTGGATACAGTCACTGGAAGTCACACCATTTGTGATTAAAATATGAATGAAATACATAAAAGCACTATTCATCTTTTATGCTTTTTATTCTATTTACATCCAGATGCTCAATAAAGAGTAATATTTTGAATAGTATATTTAGGGTATATAAGGGATGTCCCATTTAGATTTTTGGCCCTCGAGTCAGAGTTATTTGATTTTAAGTTTCTACTGATAGCAATATCCGATCCCATACTTCTATATTGTAATACTCAAAAAAAGAATAAAGAAGAGCAAAGAATCAATTCCATGATGTTCCTTTTGTTTTTTTTAATTCACCTTATTTTAAGATTCAACAACTCTGGTAACAAACAGAGCACTTCTGTGAGATAGCTTGAACAATCAACTAATAAATAACAAATTCTTCATTTTGGAATTTACCGCAGCAGTAAAAATAAAAAATAATTAAGAGCACCTAAACTTAAAATGCCCGGCAGGCAATTCCAAGTTTACATATCTCACAGTTTGCTGGGGCAATGTTGTCATCATCAACTTTGTAATATCTCCAGAACGCAGACATACTTGCGCTTTTCTGCCTCAAGCTGCTTTCGCGTTCTACTTTGCCAGCATTCAACCAATAGCGTCTCTGCAACAAAGTGATGTCATGCTGCACACATTACTGTTTCTGTGTGAAGTCAATAAAGAAGTCTAACTCTGTGCCACTGCTTAAATATAGATGTGTCCAAAAATAATGACAATATATATGTAAAGATAAATATATATTCGTGTCCTGATTAGAAGGTAACGTTCGATTGCGGTCAAGTCTGAAACTGCGTGATCTGGCCAGATTTCTGATCATGTGATCGTATCTGGACAGCCCTAGTGTATATATACACATTTGAGGGCAAAGTAATTATCCCTCCTGTGAAATATCCTCTATGTAAAGTGCTTCCGAGGATTTTTTTACCTTTGGAGAAAGTTTTATTTGTTTTATTTTGTCTGAAATAGTAGGGTTTTTAAAAAACCTTTTATGGTCAATATTATAACCCCCTTAAGCAATTTGTTTAACCAGTGTTATAGAATGAATTGCGTAATTAACCTAATTTACCTAGGTAACCTAATTTACCTAGTTATGACTTTAAATGTCCCTTTAAGCTGAATGCTAGTATCTTGAAAAAAATCTGGTAAAATATTATGTACTTTCATCATGGCAAAGATAAAAGAAATCAGTTATTAGAAATGTGTTATTAGAACTATTGTGTTTAGAAATGTGTTAAATCTTCTCTTGGTTAAACACAAATTGTGAGAAAAATATAAAATAATAAAAATTTAACAGGAGGGCTAATAATCCAGACTTCAACTGTATGGGCCCTATCATACACCCGGCGCAGTGTGGCGCAAGGCGCAGCGCAATAGTCTTTTACTACTTTAAGCTTGGCGCAAGGGTCATTTTGAGACATTGCGCCATGCTGTTTAAATAGCAAATGCATTTGCGCTCAAATGTGCGCCCATAGGCGTTCTGGTCTAAAAAAGCAAACGTGTTTTGGCGCGTTGCTATTTTGAGAAACTGTAAATAGTCTGATCTTTAGACCAGAACAAAGTGAGTCTTTTGTCTGGCTCAAAGTGTGCCTGGCTTACACACTACAAACAAGATGCAATACGCAAATATCTTTACATTTAAAAAATATATAATATATTAAGGATATATATATATATAGGATATAATAAGGATATATAAAAATATAAATGATTAAAATACTACAAATCACATTCATTTCTAGCCTACATGAATTTAAAAACCACTGCCTTCATACTTTCTTCATCTCGGGAGGCTTTTTCAGTTTATTCAATTTGCTTTTGTATAATGTTATTATTATTAGCAGTATTATTTATTACATCCATATTTATATTTGTTTTATTAAAAACAAGCTTAGATTTGTCCACCTGTCAGGTTTTAGACCATATGGGGCATAGCAGCTGTATTTGGAAATAACTCAGTATTTTGACCACACTTTGTTATTATTAATCATTTATTTATTTGCTGGAAATTAGAACTGAATTTAGAAATAGTTTTGAAACAAATCTTTGCGCTTAACAAACGAAATTAATTATTTATAGGCTAATTGATGTTTGTGCGGTAAGGTTTCTCTATCCATGAGGGCAAAAGTGAAAGTAAACTTACTTTACGTCATGTTAATAGCACTGCGCTTATTGCGCAACGCAGCTGGCTCTTAAAGGTAATGGAAGATGAGACTCTGATTGGTTTATTCTCAAAACACACCTATGACTCATTATGAAAATAAACTCAACCCTTTTAGACCATGCACCATGGCGCAAAGCGTTTGCGCCCTGCATTTTGCACTCTGCACATGGACCGTCACAATAGAGCCCAATGTATTGTAAAACATCATTTTTTTATGAAACAAAAATATAAGTAGATACATTTATGTAGACTGATGTTTGAGAAAATACAAGAGGTCACTAATTTCACTGATTTTGTTTTACTGTTTACTGAATTGTATCATAAATATCCCCTAAAGAAAAAAAAAACTGCTAATAATATACAAACAGTGTGAGAAATGGTGGGATACAAACTTTTTTGACACTTATCTTCATATAGTGCTATTTTATCTGAAATTGTGAGCAAAAAAAAATCTCCATAACTTGTCGGCCTTGTTGGACATTGTTAATAGATAGAGGTGTCACATCAAAGGACAAGTTCCAAAAAGTTAAAAGTTCTGAGGCAAAAACTTGCCTCATGCCATGGGCTTTATAGGAGGCTTCAGTCTCATGATCTAGAATGGTAAAGTTTAATTGTAGATTTTAGGTTTCCATAGTTTGATCCTAATAGTGTTTTTCTTTATTGCAGTGCTACTTTGATGGAAGTCTCTCGGCTCAGGGTAAGATGCCCTGGATTGAGTATAATTATGAGCAGGTGTGTGGGACCGAGTTCATCATTGAGTTTCTGGAGGAGAAACTGGGCATGAGTCTGAACAAGAGTCTGAGCGCTCAGGAGCAGGCAGTAGCGCAGGCCATCACCACCATGGTGGAGGAGCATTTATATTGGTGAGTCATGAGCTGACAATCACACTGACTCACTTCTGCTGCTCACACATCAAAATGCTGTCTGTTCTGCAATTTTATTATTAATAGATTGGAGAATGTTTTGCCCTTTAAGCTTTATATTTTTGATAGTCTACAGAACAAACCATCGTTATACAATAACTTGCATAATTACCCTAACCTGTCTAGCAAACCTAATTAACCTAGTTAAGCCTTTAAATGTCACTTGAAGCTGTATAGAAGTGTCTTGAAAAATATATAGTAAAATATTATGTACTGTCATCCTGGCAAAGATAAAATAAATCAGTTATTAGAAATGAGTTATTAAAACTATTATGTTTAGAAATGTGTTGAAAAAAAATCTTCTCTCTGTCAAACAGAAATTGGGAAAAAAATCAACTGGCTAATAATTTAGGGGGGCTAATAATTCTGACTTCAACTACATCATTTATTAACAAAAAGTAAATTTCAAATATTTAAATTGAAGACAAAATTATTATTACTCCTGTGAAATTTTGATTCTTTCTTAAATAAGTGCTGTTTAACTTTTTACAGAATTTTCCCATTTTAATTTTCTTGCGGATTAAGTTTTATTTATTTTAGTTTAGCTTTTAATTCTAGTTTCTAATTCTAGTTTAAAACTGCTATGGTCAATATTACTTGTCCCCTTAAGAATGTATTTTCTTCAATTGATGACAGAACAAACCTCTCTTATCCAGTGACTTGCCTAATTATCCACTGTTGGAGAAAGGAATATATTTTTTATTATTTTTGCCTCTTTTTCCTTTTCATTAAACAATTGTTTTTGTATTGCTTAAGGTGATTTATATTAACCAAAGTTCTTCAGGAGTGTACTAATGAAGCATTTTTTGCAGAAGTAGATAAAGCTGATAGAAATGCAAAGGCCTGGTTGTCTGAAGTTAACCTGAGCTCTGCAGCAAAACTTCCTGTGAGCAGAGATGGGTTAAAAAAATGAACACAAAATATTTGCAGTTGAGAAGTCTGCTTTTGACGTTGTGCAGAGAATTAGTTGAAAAAGAGGATGTATGCATGGGTGCGACCAATAGAGGTGTAATGAATGCGCTGACAGAGAGGGATCCATATGCAGTATGTTTATTAAACAACTGATGTACCACAAAACTTTAATAAGAATAGGAATACTCAAGTGCATGGGAGGTAGCGACACGATTGAAGACTAGCAGATAATGTTTGGCATCAGGCTACAGTCTGAGATCGGAGCTGGCAGCAGAGAATCAGAGTCTAAAAGCAGGCAAAGGTCTAGGCAGGCCGCGAGATGAAACAGTGTCGGTTGGCAACGATAAAACAATCAGAAGGCAAGGAATAACACTCAGAAATGTATGCAGGGAAAAACAAGACTTTGCACTGAGAGGTGAGTGAGAGCTGCTTATATGTGTGTGTGTGTGTGTGGATGAGGATCAGGTGCAGGGTAATCAGTGCCACAGGGAATTCTGCGGGATAGAGTTCTTTAGAAAGCCAGCGATAGTGACCTCTGCTAGTCAGTGAGGGGAACTGCTGGGACCGAGTCGGTGACAGGAGGACTGTGGAATAATCGACAAGTGATGAATTCCACTAAACTAAATATCAGCTAAAAGCTCGAATCGGAAAATGAAAGTTGTTGCGCACTTCCTGAATGAAACTTTTGCATTACATTGAAGATAACATAATTCTGTGAATAGAATTATTCATTTGTATCCAATAATTTACTAATATTTTTGACATTGAAGAAAACACTCTCCTGACCTTTTTTATTGAACACGCATGGAATTGATTAAATATTCAACATTAACCAGTTAAGCCTTTAAATTGTAGTTTAAGGCAAATACTAGTATCTTACAAAGTAGCTTGTCAAATAATATGTACTGTCATCATGCAATAACAAATGAAATTAGTCATTACAAAGTAGTTATTAAAACAGTTATGTTTATTAATGCTTTGGTTGAAAAAACATTTCTTATTACAACTTGACAGGGGGGCTAATTATTTTGTTTTCAATTGTACATTGTTTTTTTTTTTCCAGCTAAAAAGCAATGATAAATTTATTAACTGAAATGTAGAATTTAGATCAATTATAGTGCTGAATATATTTCACTTAATATATATATTTTAAAACAAGTTTAGCCCCAAAATATGCCTCATGTCTTTTATTCAGTAGCAATTTTAGAATGTTAGATTTGTCTGCTATTAAAAATCTAATTTTGTTGAGTCTTTTTATTGTTCCATTTCAAAAGATTGTAGTTTTAAATATAATTGTCATTAAAGACTTCAATTGTTATTGAATAATAGATGGACAACCTATTTCTTTCTGCGTAATAAAAAGCCATGCATGACGTTTATGAGTCTGTCATAGTAAACCATTAAAATAAAATATGCATGATAAGCCAGGAGTTTCCTGCTGACAAGATCTGTTGCGCAGGAAGCAGATATTTAAATTAATGACGGAAACATAATCCTACGCACTGGGCATTATAATGTAAGAGTCATTTCTTGGGACAAAAAAAGGAGATCAAGGTTAGGAAATAGCAATGATACAGCTATTCCCTTTCCTTTGGGATTATGATTATCCTTTCAATTTCTTTATATTATGATGTTTCTTCATTTCATGTGCATTATTTCATAGTGACTAGAGGCATCTGACACTGTTCTATATATAGCCTTCCACGTGGCTATTGATTGAATAATTCATGGCTTTGAATCTCTGTGTTGTGTACAGTATGTCAGCTGAAGAGTTTGCTGAGCAGGGCAGTTATTGAGCTGTATATAAAAGCAGTGGATGTCAAATGGGGATACAGACAGCAAATCTGGATTATAACACTGAGGGATTTTGATTAGGAAACGAATCTCCTTATACACTTCTTTACCAATTAATTAAAATTGTAATAAAATAATTATTATAAGTGTTTTGTATACATTCCTGTATAATAAAACCACACTATTATGTCATATTTCTGCTGAAATGGGCATGTTTGTCAATGCACATGTTTGAATGAAGTCATTATTAGGTAACACTTTAGAATAATAGTGTATTAGTTTATGTTAGTTAATGCATTTGTTACCAGCAATTAGTGAAATCCCGGTATTTTATAGAATGCCTAGGAAATATTTAGAATGCCCAATGGTTTTAGGCAAAGTATGAAATACCATTTTTTTGTAAAGATTTTGAAAACTTTTCCTAGGCTTTTCCTTAGACAAGTATCATTTAGGCCAGTGGTTCTCAAACTTTTTTCACCAAGTACCACCTCAGAAAAAAATGTCTCTCCAATTACCACCATAATGACCAGTATTCAAATACAGTAGTGTAGCATGCCTAATTAAGCAGCTGCAACTCTGCATAGTTCAAAAAACAGGCAGATTAATTCCTGTTATTAAAAATACTTATTATTATCACAACTTTAAACATTGGAAATAATTTGAACATTAACTGTGCTTCTAAAAGTTAACTAAAAATTGTACTGTTCTTAAAAAGTAAAAAGAAAACTGCTCTACTTAAATGTAAAGTATTAATATACAGTAGCCTATTCATCAAAACCTGGAAATGTTCCTTGGACTGCATAAATATAGGCTTTATGTCATCATATTCATATGAGACTCTTTTTGATATTTTTTTAAATAGATGATGCATGTTTTTATGACTTATTTGTGTATCTTTGAAATCTAAACATTAACTTGTATTTTTAAATATTTGATTTTAATTTACATATTTAAATTAGATCTGCTTACCCTGGATTAGAGTAGGCTTGGTGCGCCAGAATAGCAAGTCATTAAACCATACCTGTCAACATTGGCATACAAAAATATAAGATATGCTCCCAACAACCGCTACAAATATGAGGAGATTAGCTTCAAATGATAGAATACATAAAAACATTAGAGAATTGAAAATAAAATAAAAGGTTTAGCCTTTTGCAATCAATTTCCAGATCACATCGATGTTATCGTATGCGTCAAAGGGTTAAAAGTGTGTTAAATTTTTACTTTAATTATTCATCAATATCTCCGCGCACCACTTGAAGGAAGCCCATGTTCCACTAGTGGTACACAAACCACAGGTTGAGAACCACTGCTAGGCCATTAGTGTCAGAAGAAAAGCCTTTATTGATCGTTGTATAATTTAAAGTGGAAGGAATACAAAATAAAGCATATGATATTCTTACCGGAAAAAAACAATAACAGCAGAACTGAGATTGAAGTATTTGCTACAATTTTGTCTGTGATGTGGAAGTGCAACCTCATACTGGCATGGCATACAATACACTGGTTTACAATAACGTTCAACACTCGTGCTTCGATGTGCCATCATCAAACAACAACAATCCAAGTGTCCAAGATCAGTGATGGGAAAGATGACAGGGGTAGGCCAGTTACATACTTATATGTTATACGTCTTATGGGGTCAACCGCGCATACTGGTTGCAATAGCAAACATGTCGTGTTGTGCAGTATGATGCCAAATTCAAAAGTGCAAAAATAGAAAACTTAAATTTTACCGTACACCACGCTGCTTTTAATGCCAACCGCAGACGTCTTTGGCTAACAGCCATCATAAGAGCTTAATGAAGAGACGACCTAATTAAAAACGCTCGACTCTCCAGTTCTCTATGTCAGTTATGTCAGGTAAGTTCACGTTATGCTGAATCTTACACATTACTCGTTTTTGATTGCAGGAATGATTTCAGCAAAAAACTTTAAATATGATTAATTAAACTGCGGACACTGAATGCTTAAAATAAAATGTAAAAATGTAAGTTCACATACCCTGCTGTACAGGTGCAGTTCACTGTCAGAATGCAGTTGTTGATGATTATCCAGGCCTTGTATAGCTCCGTGTTCTTTCCTTGTCTTTGGCTAGGCAGAACCTTGGTTTTTAGCACTATAAAGTTTTGAATCTGGTTATCATGGAACATTATTTTGTGCACATGAGCTTACAGAACAAAATTGTAGGGATCCAAAGACTTGTTGGCCTTTAACTTCTCTCTTGGAAAATCACTTGGAGTTGCAATGAGATGCGAGCTGGATGCTTGGCCATTTCGTCTTATCCAATATCCATTGGGAGGGTGTAATCGCAAATGGACCTGTCAGATAAACGCCGCTCACTTTAACATTAATTTTGCTGAATCACTGTGTTTATCACTGGGTGACAAGCTGTTATAATATGCTGAAAGCATTATGTAAATAATATATATAATATGTAATCAATATAACTTATCTCAACAAATACAACAACAAACTCTGCACCGCATTGGATATTATTCCTTTTCTGTAAATGCTAGCGCTCCTGTTTTTTTCTGCAACCTTGCTGCGCATGCATCCTAAATATTTACAAACCGGTAATTTATCTGACTCACGCGATCCTCTCTCATTTCACTCGGATGTATTCATGCTGTATAGACCTACACACCCTGCATTTATAGCAGGTCGCCACCCAGAGCGACAGGCGGCTACAAAGTCACTGCTAGTCTGAATGATGTTTTTGCCGTTTGATTATAGGCATTCTATATATTTTCTAGACATTTCACACATTCTAACATTAACTATAATTAATCTTGTAAAGCATTTGGTAAGATATTTAACATTCACTAATGCATAATTAATATACATCCACAGTTGTCCTTGTTAACATGAATTAACATGAACCAACGTTATTTAACCTAAATAACATAAACTAATGTTAACAGAAATGGATAAATACCAAAATAAGTTTATTATTAATTATTTGTTCGTGTTAGTAAGTACATTAACTAACATTACCTAATAGACAATACAATAATATTTATTCTTTGAACGGGATTCACAGTATTTTATGGAGTAATAAAATTAAAGAGTTAAAATTAAAAATTAAAATTAAAATTAAATAAAAAAGAGGAAAGAATAAAATAGCAGTATTAGATATTGAAAAGATCTGCAACCTAAGTGGAAACACCAGCTTCATAATACAAACACCTTAGTAAAAAGGCGTAGATGATCCTTATTGTATCTGTTAAAGCAGATATATTTTATACTTGTAAGATTTACCCCTTTCAAAAGAAAGTTTTGTTGGTGTTTGTTGAGGCTCCAGTTGATCTTTACTAGTTAGTCAATAAGAGAGAACCAGTTTGATTTCAAGGGGCTTTGAGAAATGGAAAGACAAGACCAAAGCCTGGCACAAGCTTAGGGTGAGGGTGGAGAAAACTGTAAGTTCAGCATCTTCTCCTGTGTTGACTGGGTGCTAGAAAAAAAGGGGGACCTTTGCGTCTAGCTTTCGATGATGATGTTGCTTAAGATAACTGATGAGAAATAAAAAAAATTGTGGGAAAGTTTAATGACTCTTTGTCATCAGCTTCAGCTATTGAAATTTCCTACAATGCTAATATATTGGACAACTATCAACATATCATGTAAAGGATTATTCAGTAAATCTAATTAGCACTACATAGATACCAAGCATCTGCTATCTTGTTTTACTTTAGTTGTTTTAAAGGATTATTACACCAGCACAATCAATAAACACTTGATTACACCTAGAGCGAATTCATGACTGTATGAATCATAGCTGATTATATAAAAAGGAATAGTTTTAAGATGGTATATGAGCAGGAACATTTGTCTGTATGAAAAAAGTACACATTCTGTTTTGAGTTGCAAATAACTGGATGGTGAGGTGTTGGGTTTTACTCTCCTGATGGATAGGAGAGGGTATTTGTGTATTATTTGTTAAATATATCACATAATTGTATGTCTGATCCCCTTTATCCGCTACATACATTTTTCTTTAATTTAGTGTTCTGATTTTTGTGCTAGAAATGTATAGAATTCAGTCCATATTTTATTCAATAATTTCTCTTTTTTAGATTTAAAGAACAGTTTAGAAAATGTTTAATACAAAAACATTTAGCAATTCTTCAAAAAGTCAAACAGGGAAGTATGCTGATCACTATAAGTTTTTTTAACCGATTCACCTGCTGTTTCTTGCCTTTAACCTGATGAAAGGCTGATTGTAAATTCTGCGGTGTGGATTCAAAGCCATGAACCCAAAGAGCGCTCAAAGCCATTTTGGATGAATGGTTTTTATTAATACATTGCCTGGTGTGCAAAGAAGTTAATTAGGAGACGGCTTTAATTAATTTGATTCAGATAATCACAGAGCAGAGAATTAATTCAAAGTTTAATCTCAAAGGCCAAACTGAGTTTGTTTTCTGTGTGATACTAAAGCTGCACTCCGTTATCATAAAAAAGCTTTTAATATGATCAGTTATTTGTGTGCATTTTAAATATATAGATAATAAAAAATATTATAGAACAAAACATATCTGATATCATTTATTATGAACTATTCCAGTCTGTTTACTACAGTTATATTGCATGTTATCATGAAATTACTGGATCCTTTAGGTACTAAAGTTTTCCATTTCAATTTAAATATAAAGATGATGTTGTTCTTTAGGCAATCTCATCTAATTTAATCTCATCACTTTGCAACATGGCTTGCTTCAAAAATTGAAACATAGACAATTATTTTGCATAATAATAATAATAATAATAATTATTATTATTATTATTATTAATAATACAAATTATAATTATATTTGCTTTTTTACTTATTACTATTATTATTATTATTATTATTATTATTATTATTATTTCATTTTATTTTAGGTAACAATTTACTCCATTTAATTAATAATAATAATAATAATAATAATAATAATAAATTATAATATTATTATTATTATTATTATTATTATTATTAATAATAATAAATAATAATATTAATATAAATATAAATATGGTAACACTTTATTTTAAGTAACAATTTACTACTGGCTTTTTATCTGGCTATTATTAAAATATTAAGTGTTTATAAGCACTTTTCTAGTATGCCTTACTATTAATAAGCAGCTAATTGGTTAGTATTCATTTATTAGTAACAGTTTAATTTGTAGTTTTAGTTAACGGTTTGTTAAATAGTGTGAACATTAAAACAAAATGTGACCATTATTTTCAATTATTATTACAAATAACTATGATTTCAAAAATATGACTTTTCCCTCTCACAGCGTAAAGATCTCTTCATACATGAAAAATAAAACACCTTTGTACTTCAGAAAATGAATCATCCCCACTTCTGATTTCCTCATATCTGTCTTGTGCTCACAGGAGCATAGCGTACTGTCAGTGGGTGGATAATGTGCAGGAGACTCAGAGGATGCTGGATCTCCCTGGACCCCTCAGTGACCTGCTGAAATGGATCCTGTGTCAGCTGACAGGTGGGATGGTAAAAAGAGAGATGTACTGCCACGGCATCGGCAGCTTCACTAAAGACGAGGTTTATTCCCTCATGGAGAAGGACATGCGCACACTGGCCACACTGCTGGGTGAGCAGGACAAAAACAGACATTAAATCTTTCATCTTTGTGTGATGGGATACAGATACAATTTGTAATGGCATTTATTATATATATATATGTGCAAGTGTTATATCTATGTGCAAAACTATTTTGGCAAATCTTAATTACTAATGTCTGCATAATACAACAGAAATCTATTTGAAATAAACGCTGCTCTTTTAAACTATATTCATCAAAGAATCCTGACAAATTGCAAAATCACAGTTTTTACAAAGATGTTAAGCAGCACAAATGTTTTCTATATTGATAATAATAAGAAATATTTCTTAAGTACCAAATCAGCATTAGCACCTGAAGGAAACCCACGTGAACAAGGGGAGAACATGCAAACTCCACACAGAAACGCCAGAAACAGTAACTGACCCGGCTGGAGCTCAAACCAGCGACCTTCTTGCTGTGAGGCAATCGTGCTACCCACTGCGCCACCCCGATACCCTAAAATCATTAATTCATTAATTCATTCATTCATTCATTCATTCATTCATTCAATTTCTTTTCGGCTTAGTCAATTTATTACTCAGGGGTCGCCACAGCAGAATGAACCGCCAACTTATCCAGTATGTTTTATGCAGCAGATTCCTATCCAGCTGCTACCCAGCACTGGGCCATTTTAGCTTAGTCAATTCACCTGTACCGCATGTCTTTGGGTGAAACTGGAGCACCCAGAGGAAACCATGCAAACATCACACAGAAATGTCAATGGCCCAGCTCAGGCTTGAACCAGTGACCTTTATGCTGTAAGGAGATCATGCTACCCACTGAGGCACCGTGAAGCCCACAATAAAATAAATTATTATTATTTTTTTAAATAATTATTCTTTCCCAGAGATGGGTTGCGGCTGGAAGGGCATCCGCTGCGTAAAAACTTGCTGGATGAGTTGCTGGGCGACCCTGGATTAATAAAGGGACTAAGCCGGCAAGAAAATGAATGAATAATAATTATTCATTAATTCATTTAATTTTCCTTTGGCGTAGTCCCTTATTTATTAGCGGTCTCCACAGCAGAATGAACCGCCAAATCTTCCACCATATTTTTTTACGCAGCGCAATCATTTCCATTTCCCAATATCACTTTGTTTTTGATCAAATACATTCAGCTAAGACAATAATAAAAAAAATCTTACCAACTACAGACGTTTTGTGATGTAAGTAATTAAGTCATAATGTCATTTTGCTCCTAAAATATATATTGTGGTGCAGGAACTATTTTACACAATTTTCACCACATGGCATTGTAGAAAAATGATTTCTCATAATTTAATTTGTATAGAAATCTGACATATTGCCATATATGAACAATGTACGTTAATAGTATTTTTGAACAAACATGTACAGATTTTAATCTCAATGGTTAAAAATATATCTATATACAGTCAAGTCTGGTTTAAAGTTTCTTTTTATTCAACCAGCAAGTTTTTTCAAAATTGGAAACGACACAGACTTAATAAGACGATGTTCAAGAGGCATCATTGTGAAATTAATTTAAAAAAAAAAATGCCTGGGTCATAAATAATTTCGGGCTTGACTGTATAAAATATAGAAATATTATACAGGGGGATTCAACCACAACTTTGAAAATCGAGAACTCTGCACAGAAAAAAAGAAGAGCTAAGCCTTTTCTGTCATCAATTTAAGGAGGCTCTGAAGTTTTGAAAAACTTTAAGTACTCTGCACATTGATTAATTGGTCACACTTTACAATAGTTTATTAGGTAATGTTAATTAATGCATTTACTAAGATGAACAAACAATGAACAATACATTTACTACAGTATTTGTTCATGTTAGTTAACGTTAGTTAATGAAAATACAGTAGTTCATTGTTAGTTCATGTTAACTCATGGTGCATTAACTAATGTTAACAAGCATGGACTTGAATGTTAAAAATGCATTAGTAAATCTTCAATTATGTTTAATAAATGCTGTACATGTGTTGTTCATGATTAGTTCATGTTAGTAAATGCATTAACTAATGAACCTTATTTTAAAGTGTTACCGATTAATTACCTCAGGTTCCATCATGTTTAAAAGATTTTCAAAGTTGTGGTTTTCTTTTTTAATCACACTGTATATTTAAATAGTCATTTTTGCAATATTTTGAAATATATGTTACATTTTTATGTATATTATATATATGTGAAATCCGAACATGAACATATCATGTATGTTACTTGCACATGTTGCTATATATCCTATTTCTATGGTGAAATTGTAAGAACATCTGTTTTTACAACAGAAGTCTGTTATTTGTTCTCCATTATTGCTGGCTGTTGATATGAATTTTCTGGATTGTCAGGTGATAAGAAGTACATCATGGGCCCTAAGCTGTCCAGTGTGGATGCCACAGTGTTTGGACACCTTGCACAAGCCATGTGGACTCTGCCTGGCACACGACCCGAGCAGCTCATTAAAGGTGAACATTAGAAATTCTATTAGAATTTGAAATAGAAACACAACACACTGCTGCACTTGCACAAATTGTTATTGTTAAAATTAGTTGAAATGTTTACTTGTACCTTTGTCTGGTTCTTAAAAGTATAATTCACACAAAAATTACAATTCTATCATACCATACATGCATGACTTTCTTTTTTGCATGCAACAGAAAAGCTGATCTTAGACAGTAATCACATTGCTCTATGCTATTCAATGCATTGCACATTTTTTAAACATTAGAAGCAATGTAAAATGCTATAAGCAAAAATAAAAATAAATATTGAGACAGATTTTATTAAACTGGAAGTCTTCTAAACCTCCTCCCACCGTCTCATGGTTGGAAGATTTGATGTCTTTTCTATATATTGAAAAATATATAGAATATAATATCTCTGTTACAAAATGTAAAGGTACAAATGGAATCAAACATAATTTGTCAAAGATGCCAAAAGAATAAAATATGTTTCATGTAAAAAGAAGAGCTAAGTAAAAAAAATAAAAAAAGTTTAAGTAATAGACAAATGATGTAGGTTGTAATGGGGTGGGAAAATAATAAGCTTGTGCTTCATCCCACTCCATTTCCGACCATGTTGAACTGTATTTTTTGTTAATGATATTATATGTATGATATTTCTGTTCAAAAAGAAATAAATCAAAATAAGAATACAATACATCTCTTTACTGATTTATAATGTTTTTTTTTAACAAAGAAGTCTGCTCTTTTTATTAGTGTATCATTTAGATGTTTTGTATATTTATTTAGTTGCTTTGGCAATTCAAGTAGATGCTAATATTGTTGTGTGTGTTTTATTTTTCCTTTTATTCTCCTCCTTGGGGGTGGGGTGTAATGGTGGATGGTTTTTGAATGTTCTTGTTTACCCTTAGTTATTGTTAAAAAATATATATATATATTATATATATATTTGTATTGTTGTATTTTTTTAAAGACCCCCCCCCTTTTTTTATTATAAAAAGTCTTGGTTTTGATCATATGGGTTGTTATAATGTTTTTAATATAGTACAGAAGTCGACTGAATTTGGTTTGATACTTTAGGGCTATGTTTGAGCTTGAAAGCTCATTAATTTATTAAAAAATTTAAAAAACAATGTGCTCAAAAAGCTAATGAAATAAGTTTAGCAACTAAGTAGGGTATTAAAATGATTTATTAATTATTATTTTGTGAATAAACAACTCTCCGGAATGTTTGTATTTGCTATTATTCAGTTTATTCACTAAATGCCATTCTAGGCCTGTATTCATGATTATTTTTTCTTTCTTTTTTTGCAGTTCAATATGTAGGTTGATCTTGCAGTTAAGAGCTGCATATATAGTAACCTTTTTTTTTAAGTTTAAAAAAAATTCTAGATCAAATTTTAGATTGTTTAAAACTAATTGATACTTAACTCTAACAAATTCAAAACCCTAAACATAAACCTTGGAAATGTTCCTGAAACATTTAGCCTTTTTATTTTGAATGTATTATCACCTATATTTTGGTTCTAAAATCAGACTCTTTCATATACAGTATGTTCAATTGACAATTAGGAGTTTGATCGTTTTTCATATATTTCCAATTTCATTTGGTGCCTGGCGAGTATTGTCCCACCAAGTCATTTTGTATTTAATAGACATCCAAACATAGACTTCATGGCTAAAAATAAACTAAATATGGGCTGTCAGTAAAAATCTATTATACATCTTTAAACTAGAACTTAATCGTCACTGTATCGTACAACGAAATTTGTCTTGTAGTTTATCAATACCAACAGCAATAGAATATATAGAGCAAATAAAAAAAAGTATCATCAATAAACAAAAGACTGAAAACAAAATCTAACTGTATTAATTAAATAGTAGCACAGTAATAGTACAGTAAAGTGTCTAGTGCATTAGCAACCATATGGGGAAAAGGGGCAACAGCTGAGTTGTTCGCCTTCATTTCCAATAGTCCAAAAATAGACTAGTCATTAAAAAGACAGATTACATAGACGTCACATCTTTAGTCATTCATTCCTGTCTAGTTGATGAGAAGTCAATTGACTATTGTCCATTAGATTTTCATTGACAGCCCAAATATAGCATTGTTTTAGCAAAGATGTCTATTAGATGTCTATTAGACTTATTTTAGACACATGAAAGTGCTTGTAGGGAATAAACGCATAGAATGTTAAACCATCTTCGCAGTTTAGAGATATGTTGCTGTATTCTTTATGAAATTACATGATTTTCTTCAGCTTATGATTTGTTTTATTAAATTTAAAATGAGACAAAAAGCATTACCATCCACATCTATCTGTGTGCAGGAGAACTGATCAACCTGGCCATGTACTGTGAGCGCATACGGAGGAAGTTCTGGCCCGAGTGGTTTGTGGATTTAGAGGACTTCTGCTACGACAGCGACAACGACACCAACAGCGGGACGCCCCCCTGCCCGCTGGACCTGGGTCTTTTTTCCAGGACAGACACATTGGAGGAGAGCGATCTAAGCCTCCCGTCACACAGTAACTCAGAACTCTCCGGACACTCGCTCTCAGACTCGGACATTGAAGTTGATGGCTCGGACGGGGAGCAGAAGGTCAAGGGTTAAATCAAGGGTTTCATCTGGGATACATAATTGCTGATATGGACATTTCTTTCTTGGATGAATCACTCTTTGATGGAACTCAAGTGAACACAAAATGCGACGTGACATCAGTCATGGATTCAATATTTACACAACGCACACTTTAGTTCTCTTTATGAGACGTGTGCAGAAGATCATCCACTCTTGGACTGTCTCCTTGGTAAAACATAATGCTTCCATTCCTGTCAATGATCCAATATGAAAATGCGGTCATCCTTTTTGTTTATGTCATTTTTAAAACACATAAATGGATTTTCTTTCACCTTCACAACACAAGTGAAGATATTTTTAGCATATCATGAGAGATTTCTGTCCCTCCACTAAAACTCTAGTGCTTCGTTATATTCATAAAGTCAAGGGTTTTTAGTGCATGACAAATTTTTGTTAATATTATTATCAACTAAATAAGATTAGGGTGGTGTGGTGGCTCTGTGGGTAGTGCTGTCTACTCACAGCAAGAAGATCGCTGGTTTGAGCCTCAGCTCACCGTTCTCACCGTTTTGAAGTGGGTTTCCCACGTGTGCTCCGGTGTCCCCCACAAGTCCAAAAGCATGTGGTATAGGTGATTTGGGTAAGCTAAATTGTTCGTAGTGTATGTGTGTAAATGAGGGTGTATGGGTGTTTCCCAGTGATGGGTTGCAGGTGGAAAGGCATCTGCTGCATAAAACATGTGTTGGATAAGTTGGCGGTTCATTCTGCTGTGGCGACCCTAGATTAATAAAGGGACAAAGCTGAAAAGAAAATTATTTAAAGATTAAAGACAAGCAGCTGGCATATAAGGAGCAGACATACATCACTTATTTTAAAGCTTTGAAATATGAATTTATTTCAGTTTAATAATATGTTATTGTTTATAAAAATATGGATGTATTATAAAAATGTATAATACATTAACATACTTTATTTGTATGTACACAGGTATGATATGTAAACAAAATTTAAACTGTTAGCATTGCTTGATTTTTCTCTCTGCATGATGTTGCAGGGTTTGGTTTTCCAAATGAATACTTTTTAAGTGTTCAGATATCCTTATACTTCATCAGTTATCCTGTGCTCACTATGTATGGACCATATCGGTCAGAATCTCCAGCCTGATCTCACAAGGATGCAACTTTTTAATGTATTGGCTAAAAAATGGATAATTTGTACAAATTATATGATTCCATTCGTACGAAAACATATGATTTTTAAAAGGAGGGGTTCCCTCAAACCCCACCCTTAATCCTAACTATTATTCAGGTATGATCAGATTGTATTAAAATGTACAAATGAGATCATATCATTTATACAAATTAGTCACTAAATCAAAAAGTTACAAGATTGCGTTGGAATGTTAATATTTTTTTTTTTGCTTCAAATTAGATCACTGAAGCTCAAGCATGCTTGATTGATGTGCGAGAACCAGTGAGGTTTATTCTTGCATGTGACATCAGCATGTTTGTTTTTTGTGAGTTATAGTCAGGACCAGACAGAATCTGCAGACATTCTTTGCTATTTCAGCAGAGTAAAAAAAAAAACATGGATTTATATGGAATTATTTTGGGAGTATCGCAACAAAAATTTTTAAATCCACTTATTTGGTAAACAAAGCAAGTCTATTATACATATCCAATATATATACCAAAAGACAGAAAATATTAGCCTACTTTACAAACTGTAATCTAAATAAATCAAATGAGCATTTTCATATTTTTCAGTACTATTACTGACATATTTTTAAAAACTGGATAAATATAAGTTTACACACATTTACACAAGTAAATAAATAGACTTTTAGGGTTAAAAATCTGCTGATTTCTGTGTGCGGATTTCGTGTGGGCCTAGAAAACTTGGATTAAACCACTTGACTTCTATAGATTTATTTTTTAATTTCTTCATAAATATTTTGAGAGGTCAGAGTTTTGGGTGAGGACAATTTTAATGGAAGGACAGAAGTCTCTTAAAGGTGATTAAAAATATATTCATTTATGTCTTGAAGATGAATTTAAGTTCTGACTTACATGAGGGTGAGTAAAAAACCTCACAAATTAACATTTCAACCAAGAAACCAAGCATTTCACACTTTCATAGACCTCTCACTGATTTTGTCAGAACAGTTAAGGCGTTTCTATATATCTGTTTTCTCCCAAACGTTTGATGAAATATGTTCCTGAACAGAATCGTGTAGCGAAACACTAGCTTGCATGATTCTACGATGTTTAGTTGTGGTTTTTTGTGACAAACTGGTTTCCTTTGTGACAACTGAAACTAAATATCTGTAATTTCCTGTTCTTAACTAATAATCCTTGCTCCCATAGAAGCTAAAATTGGATTGATGAAGAAGGATGAAAGGAGTTATGAAGCATTTAATCCCGGTTATACCCGCTTAAACTAACAAAATGAGAATCACAAACTAATACAATCCTAGTCACTCCAATGTGTGTCATCAGTGTCAGCTGACTCTCGATTAGTCTGAATGGTGCTTAATGCCCGTGTGCCTGACTGCAATTATTTATATGTGTCTCTTCATCCTCACTGTCTTTTCTGTTCGGTTTTTGTGATTCAGACCTGCTTGCATGTCACCACCAGAGGGCACTGTGAGCTTTCACATGACGAGCAGACACTCGCATCGGATTACTTCAAGCTTCTGCCTTAAAAGAAAAAAAAACTAAGTTTTTTAAATACTAATGAAAACAACAGTGAACCTCTAGTGAATACTTAAGCGGTCAACTTTGGTGAGTTTGATTATTTTTCTTTATCCGTGCGTCTAATTTGTGTATCTAACTGAAGTGCATACATGGGAAGAGTTTCCTTATTGAGGTAAAGTTGGTTTTATACTCGCACATTCGTTCTGTGACAACTTGAGACTGGCTCCCTATATTGTTTACCATGGTATTTTTGATAGTCAGTGGCGGCTAATATGATTTCACCACACAATGAGGTAAAGTTGGTTTTATATTCACACATTCAGACTTTATCCTTAATAATATACTATATTAACAATATAGGCAGCATGTCACACATTATCACTGAACGAATGTGCGAAAATAAAACCAACTTTGCCTCAATAAATTAACCATCGTTTTACTTCACACAAACACACACTCCAGAATATTTTGATTTTAAACAATGTTAGACTATAGTGACCACAAATCAGCATTGGTTTTGATACACTAACCATAGTTTAACCATGGTATGTGTACTAAAACTGTGGTAATACTGAAATTGTAATCAATATACCAAAAAAACTAACAAAAAACAACATACATTTTCTTTAGGATTGCCTTAGTTAAGGGAAATTCTTTGCAAACAATCGCTGCATGATGAGGATACACACTTTCTGTTGAGTTTACTTAAAACCCAAGCCTGTATACTGAAACAATTGTATCTAAAAACCTGTAACTATAGAAAGTTTAATGCAGAATTCTTATGTTTACTTTCCATTTTGTTATTTTGCACATTTTAGATTATAAAAAGGCGATGTAAAGATAGCATTAGAGGACTTAAAAGCAGGGTCCAGGCAATCAGATGTGTGGGTGTGGGTGTGTGATAGCCAGTAGTATACATCATTTACATGCATGTGTGTTTGTGTGTGCGTCTGTCTACAATTAAATAAATGTGTGAGCTGGTGTAAATCACACCCGTCTTCTATAAAAGAAAAATATTTATTCCCTGTACAGGCCCGAGGTTAAAGTTAAATACATGTCTTATTTTGATAATATTACTTAATTTGCAGCCTATTTTTTTGGATATAAAATAATTAGAAATGCAATGTCTTTTTGATCTATGATAACAGGATGGACCGACTTAAAAAAAACATGCATTAGGCTATTTTAATTCTACCCAGTGATGTATGTAGGTACATAATGTGATATGTAAGTCTATATCATGTGATATAGACTTTTAATGTCTCTGTGTTGAGAGCATAGCTGGATTATGTTCTCATGAGATGTCAAGGTCAGTTTTGCTGTAGATCTCTGATTGTAGATCTTGAAGCCATATTGCAGAGATGATTTACTGTCTTTGGGAGCAAAATGATGGTTATGAATCCATATAAATATATAAGATTCTACCTAATCTGAATCAGCTAAATACTGTGTATAACTGAGACCCCTCCATGAGTGCTTCGTTATCCTGAACTGAGTGGTTGTTTAATGATGATTGCTCTAAAACACCAATTAAAACAGCTGTGACGATTTCAAATTGTGAATTAGGTGTGTATTTTTCATTCAGTCATTTTCTTTTTGGCTTAGGCCCTTTATTAATCAGGGTTCGCAACAGCGGAATGGACCGCCAACTTATCGAGCTTGTGTTTTATGCTTTTATGCAGTGGATGCCTTTCCAGCTGAAACCCATCACAGAGAAACACCCATACAGTGTGTATTTTCCCCTTCCTAAAATCAGTTAAGCCAGTTAAACCTAGTTGCAAGTGATTTATTTAAAATGAGCTAAAATGACACAATAATGACACAATTCTTGATTTGGGGGGGGGGGGGGGGGGGCTTAATTGTTTTAGGTTCAATCCAATTTAATTTGTTACGTTAACAATAATAAAAAAAAATTTATGTTTTGTATTTAGTTGTTTAGGACAACAGAATCTTAAACATGCATTTTCAAGTTAAAAGAAATCTGTGTTTTTGAAACAAATTAAAACAGCAAAAGTCAATGATTCATATGAATTAAAATGAATTATTAAGCCTAACATGTTTACTGCTCCAAATTTTTTTTAAGTTTCTCAAAATCAAATATATTGTGTTAAAAGGGGAATAAGTAAGTTTTTTTTTTCACGCAGTCAATAAAAAAAAAAAAAAAAAATCACAATATCGTAAAATCGTGAAAACAATATTGTTTTCCAAGGTTTCATACCGTCAGAATCTTATACCGGCCCATGCCTAATCTGCAGTGTTGAGTCTTAATTATAGCTGACCAGGAGACACATTTTTAAAATCACAAGAGCGAACATTTTATAATTTTTCATGTTTTTAAGGCCTGTGACTGAGCATTTGGGCACAAGAAATTACACGAAACTAATTCTTATTACTAATTACACAAAATTAATTCTTTCTTAGATTTTTTTGTCGTTTCTAGTCCAAAGATCAAAATTAAAACCAAAAACAAGACTTCCCCCTTTGGCAGATTATTTAGCTTGTTTTAAGGAAAAACTTGCTTAGTTTTGAATTATTACTTTAGAAAGTGAAAACAAAACATGTTTTGCTATAATAATTTTTTTTTTTTTAGATATTTGGTCTAGAAATGAAACAAAAACTTTAAGTTAGAAAAGCTTGAATATCCAATTTCTGTACCTGAATACTGTTAGACTTCCTAGAAAACACCAACTTATTTAGAAATAAGTCCAATTACAACTATATCAGTGATTGAGCTACCTCTTAGTAAAACACTAAAATGCTTCATGCAGAAAAATGATTCCTCTCGCATTCATTCACGCAGTTCTTCTAAAAATTGTCCATTGTTCTGTGACCTGGTTCTTGCTTCACAGCCATTCCTAAATCCTCTCTCATGGCCTTATGATATAGTAAAGTGTCCATCAGAAACTTGTTCTGAAGATGTATAGAAAATGGAATGTGGGGCAGACACATTTCTTTCAGTTTTTAAAGTATTACTGACA